CCTTCATCTCTCTCAACCAATCAGATTCACCTCTGCCAAATGTTAGCTTACAAAGTAGTTATTTGTTGATTTGCCAGCCTTGTGCAAATATCAAACATTGCGTTTCATCACTAAATGGAGCTAATTCACAGGAAATGCACCCAAACATCAACCGATATTCAGCTGCAGCTACCTCCATCTGCACTTGGCCAGCCTGAAACTCGAGGATTAGTCTAATCAAATACTTAATTACCAAGCACCAGGAAAAAAAGCCCCTCACAGACAACATTTTTTGCCCAGTTTGTGAAATCACAATCAATAATCTATAGGGCTGTAGCGAAGCCTCGACGAAGTCGACGGCTCGATTCTAAAAATTTGTCGACGTCAGATCCGGAAGTCGACGCACCGTGCCCACTTGTTGCATCCCCAGGAGTTTGTAAATAGAGGAGGAATCTGCCTGTTTTTCCTCTAGTTCGCCCTCTTCTCCGCCTTCACTAACATCTCCGCCAAATACCGAAGACCCGGAACAACGTCCGTCCACTACTAGATTATTTTCCTGTTTTGCCCCTTCGTCTCCCGGCAACGGACAACAACTTCCGGGGTCAGATGCGCAGCTTCGTGTCTATCGCAGATGTAGAAAATCACCGGGAGCGCTTCTCCCTTCATTAAGGAGCTTCTTTCAGACATGAGGAGAGCTGTTTTGGTGGTAGCAGTCTCTCCTCCGTGCTGGTCTGTTTGCTGCTGGGTGTTTTTGGTTTATTTAAACTTGGTAACTTGAACTTAACGTTGGTAAAGCTACTGTTAGCATCTTCGCTAACAGCTTCTTGCGTTGGGATAAGCTGTTACGTTTTGGTTTAGAGTTCATCTTTTTTGTGGTGTAGATCTCCCTTTTATTACATTTAGAGTGTTGTGGGTTTTCGGTTTAGTGTAAAATATCACCTGAGTTTGGTTTAACCCGTAAGACCACTCGCCTCACGCACATAAGTGACCAAAACAAAGCAGCATGGAGACACTCCATCTTCTACCATCTCTCAGGCAGCAGCCTGCTCTCCCAAGTTCTACACGTCACCAGAACATAACCAACCAACACAATAAACGCAGTGTTATACAAAATGGAAGGCCTGTAGTGTTTATTCTCTTACAGTAAGAATTTATCAATTTTTTTGAGGAATTTATTTGAGATTTTCTGGTTTTTGTTAATTGTGCAATAGAAAAATAATCATTAGATTAATTTTCTAAATAGTCATTAGAATAGTCGACTATTCGATAAAATAATCGTCAGAATAATCGTTTTAAAAATAATCGTTTACCCCCAGCCCTAATAATCTATAACAGATCTTCTACTTAAAAGTTTTGATACCAGAATCCAACTTTGACTCAATCAGAAATAAAAAAAATTCTGTTAATTATAAATAGAGGCTGACCAATAAGTTTATTTTTGGCCTATGCCAATACCGATTTGTAACGAAGGGTTAGGATTAGCCGTTATCTAAAGCCGATTATTAAGGCTGATAAATATTCGTTTTAGCAGCACATTGATTGTGAAAGACAACTGAAAACTCACTGTGTGTAATATAAATGAAATAAGTCAAAAAGTCTCTTAATATTTATTGAACTTCAAATATAAAACAAACTCTAAACATAAAAATAAAAATAAAAACAATGTTGGGGCCCTTTGGGTCCTTTCTTTAGTCTAGTAATGGCAGCAGTTGGCCACAAAGGTGCCTGACTTTAATTAAAAAATTTTATATTGGTGTTTAAAAATAATTTCGGTCAATTGCCGATATAGAAATGATTGAATATATCGGCCCAATATATCGGCCAGCCTCTATTTATAAATATTAATATACTGGAAATCTTTAAAAAGTAGACACAAAAGAAAAAAGCATTTGAACATAAACAGATTATTCCTCTTCTTTGTTTTTGCTGTGAAATGGTAAAAAAAACTTAAGCATAAATATAAAACAAGTTGCGATTTACTTGTCAAAAGTCATTTAGGTATAAACCATTTAGCTCACGTTCATCCTTTATCTCTTTGTGTGTTATATTAAATATAAAAAGTTCATGAAAAATTGTGAAAATGAACATCAACTCTCTTTTTGTAAAATCGACAAGCTGTTTTTAACGACACATAGAAATAATCTTTCATGTATTAACTCAGCTTCCAATGATACATGTCTTCACAAGACCTCAGGTCAAGTAGAACTTTACAAAGCTGTGTGTGTGTGTGTGTGTGTGTGTGTGTGTGTGGTTACTTGACTTGTTGGCTACAATTCTCTCCAATGTATTACTATTAGTGTTCTTGTGCTAATTACATTCCTCAGTAATGAGTGTGTAACACAGGTTAATCAAGTCAGTGTGGACTCTCCCTCTCTGCATGTATGTGTGTGTATGTGTGTGTGTGTTATATTTATGTTTAGTGTCTTCATCCTGTAGACATCTCCAGCATTAGATTGTGCAGTTGTTTACACTCAGCTTTTTCTGTCTGTCCTTGTCTGCAGTAATTTTTTTCCATCCTAGTTTGAAACGTTGCTTTTTCAGGCAGCTTTATCAGAATAAAGATGCATTTTTAATGTGTTTCTTTAGATAGTACAGCTGGCTGCACTAATTCTGACAACAGATGATCTCTCTGTTCTGTTTCTCTCCCTCCAGCCAGATAATGGGTGGTCGACATGACACAAATACCTGGAAAACATGACGCTGATTTAACAAAACATTAAATCAGGGCAATATACACAGAAACCTGGACTCTGGATGGGTTTTTAGATACATTTATGTACAATTACCTTAAAATAAAGTCAAAGTGGACAAACACACAGCCATGGTTTAACCTAAAATGTAGGGATGGACAATATATCGGTATTAATATCGGTATTGGCCGATGTTAGTCGTTTTTTTAAAATATCGGTTCGATAAATAAAACCGGGCCGGTATTAACAACCATTGGCTAATAACTATTATATTTTCAACTCATCTCCATTTGTTTGCCTGTTTCAGAGGGTGAGGAGAGTGATGTGTATTTGTTTAGTCATGTCACAGTGAATGAAATCATCTCAGAACCGTAACTGTGTGTGGTGTGTGTACATAATAACGCCAGTTCAGCTTTAATCATTTTCATTCTATACAAAATCTGCTGATTTTAGAAGCATTAATGTCAGTATATCGGTATCAGCAAATATCGGTTATCGGCCATAACAGTGATCTTAATATCGGATATCGGTATCGGCCCAAAAATGTCATATCGGTGCATCACTACTAAAAAGGCAACGTAGAAGCAAAATGGTAATATTAATAGTCTTTATGGAAATGTTTAGAATAATCCGAAAAATTATGACAAATTCTGCTTGTTGTGTTATTTATAAACACCTAATATTGTCCTTACAAATGCAGAATTAAAAACAACTCCTAAAATACCTCAAGTGAATTATTTAATGTGACTCTAAAAGCTGCAGGTTGCTGTGGCTGTCCTGTATTAGACCTGAGACCTGATAATGGACTGACTGCTAATCTCAGTCTCACTCTGAAACAAACACACACACGCGCGCGCACACGTGCACGCACGCACGCACACACACGTCAATGTCCAGATTCTGCTTCACACAGCCAGTTAGTGCAGGTTGAGAAAATAGATGCCACTAAAAACCACAACCGTTGCTTCTTTATCTCTATCTTGTTTCCATCTTCATGTTTTACATTAATCTCTTCCCTCATCAAAGCCCTCAGCCACCTCCGTGCCCCTGCTTTCACCCAGGAGAGCAGCAGGAACCAAGTCCTACTGACAAGGACACATCTGCAGGAACGCTGGAAGGATAGAATTGGTAGCCGGTTTTTCTCCAAATCTAACAAGTTGACCTTGTCAGTCTCAGAAAAAACAACAAATGTGTG